TAAAGTATATTCTTTACCTGAAAATATAACAAATATTTAATTAGTAGTCTTTAGAAAGGAATTTTATTGTCATATACCCAACAACTGTTGATATACATGGTCCTGTAAATATTTTTTCAACAATTAAGCTTTTGTATAGTATCAATGCTCTACTCTATTACATGTAGCAATACACAGAATTTACCTTCTTGGCATCACAGTATTAAGAACCATCCACAATTTATTGACCGTCTGAAGAATTCTCCGTGGAACCCCTGAGTCCAGCAGCTGGTTCATATTGGATGTTAATGCTTCTGCATATGGTATAAGTTCACTGGCAGAGAGCAGAGTCAAGTGTTCTATAATCTGCATCACTTGTGTGTGACTCACTGGGACAGCTGAAAATGCTAAAAAGAAAGTTTTGCAACCATTATCTAAATTCTGTAAAGTTTACCAAGCTTTCTTGGAATATAGGCCAGCCAAATCAAGAAAACAATTATTGCTAAAAGTAAAACTTTCAATACTAGCTACAATTTTCACTAAATCTAATATAAAGGCTTTAGAAAAATTAATGGAGGATGGATAAGATGGCTGGGCACGTTAGGGCACCTGTAGTCAAGCCTAACAACCTGAATTCAATCCCTGGCACCACATGGAGAGAACCAGCTTCTACAAGTTGTCCTCTAAACTCCCTATGCATGCTATGGCATGTGGAAGCCCAATCACAAACATATGCAAAATAAATAAATAAAAATGTAATTAAAAATAATTCATGAAAGTACAGTTCTTATTTCAAAAAGAACAATAAGGTTTCATTTTTTAAACAATCATATTAGTAGCCGAGCGTGATGGCACATATCTTTAATCCCAGCATTTGGGAGGCAGAGGCAGGTAGATCTCTGTGAATTCAAAGCCAACCTAGTCTACATAGAGAGTTCTAGACCAGCTGAGGCTACAGGGAGACCCTGTCTCAAAAAAAAAGACCACACAAAAAAAAGATCATATTAGTGACACAAAGGCTAACCTCATTTTCTTAGGTAACTCAGGCTGATTTTCAGAAGCAGTACTGAAATAGAAAAATAACCTAAAGCATTGCTTCTGTAGTTTATTAATTTGAAAATTTCAACCTCCTTGATACTTTCCAACAGGTGCCCCTTTGTAGGTAAGCATCTAGGAGATCCCTGTTACTAAAAACATACCTAAAACATGCTCTTCAGTAGAGTGGTCACTAACCAGAGCTGGCTATGAGCATCTTAGACACAGTACAACATGAGGTATGACATAAATGTAAAATAAATGCCAGATGGTAAAACTGAATGCAGGTTTTAAAAAAAGCAAAATATCTCATTAATATTTTGATTACATGATAAAATAATATATTGGAAATTTGTGATTAAATAAAACTATTTTTAGCCAGACGTAGTAGCACAGGCCTTAATTCCAGCCCTCAGAAGACAGAGGCAGGCAGATCTCTGTGAGTTCAAGACCAGCCTGGTCTACATAACGAGTTCCACATCAACTGGGGCTACAGGGAGACCCTGTCTCAAAAAGACATAAATAAATAAATAAATAAATAAATAAATAAATAAATAAATAAATAAATAAATAAATAAGATAAATTTTTTTCTATCATCATAAATACCACAGTTACTAAATGGACCTAGATGTCCATGAACACCTAACTGCTTCAAGGAAAATAGACAGTCATGCATGTCCTTCACCCTGGAAAACCAACAATACCTCAAAGAGATTTGGAAGAAACTAGCCAAAACTTGTAGGAACACACAGATGTCATCTCTGCATCTGGGCTCAAAATCCATGTGGCAAGGACAACTGGCTTTGGATGACTTACAATTCCTTCAGCCATACAAAGAAAAATGTGAAGACAATGACCTCAAAAGGGGGTTAGCTCAGTAGTTAAGCACCAGCATGCACAAAGGCCCAGAATTTAATCTGTAACACCAAAAGAAAAAGAGAAAAAGACTTCAAGACAACAGCAAAAGGAAGTCATGAACAGAAAGAAAAGATTAAAGGGGAGTGGAAAGGCCAATATTGGCAGAGCGAAAAGAAGTAAAGATTCTCTAGTAACTATACAAAGTTTTTCACAAGACTTAAACATGAAATTTAGATGCTGGATGTGGTAATCCCAGCATTTGGAAGGCAGAGGCAGGCAGTCTCTGTGAGTTCAAAACCAGCCTGGGGCTATAGGGAGACCCGGACTCAAAAAGGCGCCCCCCCAAAAACTGAAATTTAGGTTTGTTTTTTGGGGTTTTTTTTTCCCCTAAGGTGGGGGGAGGGGGCAATTTGTTTTATTGAGGCAAGGTCTCCATACAGCTTCAGCTGGCCTAGAGCTTACTACATAGACCAGGCCAGCCTCAGTCTCACAGAGATCAGTCTGCCTCTACCTCTCAAGTGCTTATAGAAGCCAGAAGAAGGCATGAGATCCCTGAAACTGGAGTTGGAGGTAAGTTGCCATGTGGGTGCTGGGACTTGAACCTGGGTCCTCTGCAAGAGCAGTGAGTGCTCTTAACAGCTGAGCCCATGAACTAAAACGTCTTTTGTTTTGTTTTCTGAGACATGGTCTCTCGGCAGTCTCAGCTGTCCTGAAACTTACAGCAATCCACCCGCCTCTGCCTCCCAAGTGCTGGAATTAAAGGCATGAACCACTACACCTGGCTATAAACTGAATTTTTTTTTAAATGGGTATGAGTGTATTGCCTACATGTGTATAAGCGCACCCGTGACAGAAGGGGGAGTTGGATCCCCTGGAACTGGAATTATGGGCTGTTAGCCCACATGTGAGTGCTGGGAATTGAACCCAGGTCCTCTGCAAGACTAGTTAGTGCTCTCAACTGCTGAATCATCTCTCCAGCCCCTAATCTGAAACTTTGCAATAGAACTAATGCAAAGTTTATGTGTAGCTTGTTATTTTATTTAGGGGTACTCATCTAGAATATTACCCATTAACAACAAGTATATTGCCTATTTATTATTATATTGCCTATTTATAAAGTCTATTGCATTTGTTCCTAACCAGTTTAGAATTTCTCTAAATCTTTTTTAGTTATATAATGCAAAATATGAGGAAAAAGATAGAAGCATGTTTAGTAAATTCCCAGCATAGTGAGAAACAGTTAAAAATCCTTAACCCAAAGAGTATTACTTAAAATATAAGATTTCAATTAACCGAGCATCTCTTTGTAGTAGTAAAAGACATAAGATGTAGTTTACTGTACCTTGTTGGAGTTGTTTAGGAGAGTGGTTTTTGGCATTATTAGTCAGGAGCATTCGCCTTAACAGGGCATCAGTCCCTGTGATTTCTTCTTCACAGATCCAGTCATCCACAATACATAAATGTGGGTAATTAGTTGCAAGGAGACGTAGTAAAGCTGAATGCAGCCCTTAAAAATCAAGAGCAAGTCAATTGGATTCTCAATTCTCAAAAAGCAGAATCTTCCCCAGTCTGTTATTTTCAGAAAGTCAACAGATGGTAAAGACAGAAGGTAGGTTCCAGCATGGTTTCTCAGAGCATTATTAGAGTACCTCTAGCATCAGAAGCTACAAAAGAACCTTGCTGCATACACAGAGTAGGAGATGCCATGCCGGTAACTATGATACACTCTAAAATGGAGCCCTAGCAATCTGTACTTCTGTGCATATACCACATTTTAAGAAGTTTAGGTAGAATCCTAACTATTCAGAAGACTGAGGCAGGAGGATGCTATGTTCAAGGCCTTGCCTGGGTTAGAGAGTGAGTTCAAAACCAGTCTTGGCAACTTAGATGTTATCTCAAAATAAAATAAAGGCTAGGGATGTAAATCAGTGGTAGAGTTCCTGCCTAGCATGTATGATACCCTATGTTCAATCCCCATACCAAAATAATGTTTTTTAAATTAAGAAAAAAAATTCTGAGCTGGAGGGATGACTCAATAGTTAGGAGCACTCACTACTCTTCCTGAGGATCTGAGCTCAGTTCCAAGCATCCACTTTGGGCAGCTCACAGTCACATAACTCTAACTCCAAGGGAGCCAATTCACTCTTCTGGAATCTGTGGACACTCACACAGTGGCAAACACAGACAAACACATAAATATAAGAATAAAAATAAATTTTAATTATTTTTTGTTTTATGTGTATGAGTGTTTTGTTTGCCTGCATGTAAGTGTACCATGTGTGTGCAATGCCCACAGAGGCCAGAAGAGAGCATCGAGATCCCCTGGAACTGGAGTTAGGGATAGTTGTTAGCCACCTGTGGGTGCTGGGAATTGAACCGAGGTCCTCCACAAGACAAGCCAGTGCTCTTAACCAGAGTCATCTCTCCAGCCCCAAAAATAAACCTTTAAAAAAAAAAACAAAAACTTCTGTATAGTAGTTTAAAAAAGAGCATCTGCTTAAATAAAAGTCCCCAAGAAATCAGGCTGGGCGCGGTGGCACACGCCTTTAATCCCAGCACTTGGGAAGCAGAGACAGGTGGATCTCTGTGAGTTCAAAGCCAGCCTGGTCTACATAATGAGTTCCAGGACAGCTGGGGCTACAGGGAGGCTGTCTCAAAAAGACCAAAAAAAAAAAAAAAGGTCCCCAAGAAATCAAATTAACAGTAAGTTGAGAATGACCTCTGTGTCAGATGTTCTCAAACACTCTTCTAATTAATCGCATCCAAAAAGCTTGATATAGCAGCATTTTAAGAGTTCAGGGGAGAAGAAATAGGTAACAGTTTGAAAAAGGCTTGCTGAAACCCAGCATGGTGGTGCACACCTTTAATCCAAGAACTCAGAAGGCAGAGGCAGGCAGATCTTAGTGAGTCTGAGGCCAGCTTTGTCTACACAATGAGTTCCAAGCAAGCCAGAAGTACAGAGTGAGGCCTTGTCTCAAGAAAGGGGGAAAAAAAAGGCTCACTCAGAAATTCTGGTAAATAGGCTTGGGAGATAGCTCAGTTAGTAAACTGTTCGGTTTACAAGCATGAGCACATGAGTTCAATCCCCCAAATCCACACAAGTAAGCCAAAGCACTTGTAATCCCACTGAGACAGGCAGACCCCTGGGCTCACTGCCAGCCATTGTTGGTACATTCTAGGCAACTGTTTCACCTTCCTTCCTCCAAAAAAAAAGGAGTCAGCTCCTGAGGAACAATACCTAAGGTTGTCCCTGGCCTCTACATGCAACCAAAATATACATATGCACCTGCACATATATGAATATGTACGTACACAACACAGAGAGAAAGGGAGAAAGAAGAAATTCTGAAGGCTTCTGTAAGAAATACGCCCTGTCTTCCAATCCTATTTAGAATCATTTTTATAGATGAGTAAAATTCATCTACTTACTTTGAATGTCTAAAATGGCATTTCTTAGTAAACTCTTCCATGTACTAAATGAAGTCTTTCATACTAGCATTCTAGTCTGAAATGCTGTAGTACTGTTTACTATTATGACTACTGCTATGTAATATCAGTTAGAAAATAAGCAGGACCTGGTGGCTCAAGCCTATAATTCCAGCACTCAAGAGGCTCAGGTAGGAGGATTGCCTTGAATTCAAGACCTGTCTAGACTAGAGTTTTGCAAGTTAGCCTGAGCTAGAGTAAGACCCTGATTCAAAACAGAGCCAGCAAGGTGGCTCAGAGGGTAAAGGCAGACAACCTGAGTTTGATTTCCAGGACCCACATCATGGAAAGAAAGACAGAGTCCCAAAAGTTGTCCTCTGACCTCCACACACAATGCACAAAATGAAGAATGTTCTAAATTTTTTAATACAAAATGCTTATTCAGTGATACAGAGTACCGCAAGTTAAGTGCTTGGTATGTAAAGAGCCAGTAAGTATTCCTGTTCGATGCTACACCATCATCATCATCATCACCACAGTAAGAATATGCTAAGAGCAGTAATGGTACTAAAATCAATCATCCCCTTATCACACATCTTAAATCAAGAAAAACACAGCTGGTGAATCCCAGTAGGGATAATATCTGCTTCCTTTGTGATAAAAGCTATGGTTTTTTGAAACAGTCTAACACTATAGCCCAGGTGTGACTTGAACTCATTCTGTAGGCCAGGCTGATCTTCTTCTTGCCTCCATGTCTCAAGTGCTAGGGTTACAATGTGTGCTGCCATGCCTGACCCTCATAGAATCTGCTTAAAATTGATGCCTCTACATTTGAAAAGCCATTATAACAATAAAACATGCTACTTAAGTTTAAACCTCTAAATATATGTACAATTAAAACTACTAACAGACACAAAAGAGATAGCTTGTAATAGTGCAAACCAATCTACATATTATACTCTTTTCAGTAAAACATGTTAATTGCCCCAAACTGCCAAATACTGTATCATTTATTTTAGAATAGACTATGTAAAGATATAATAAATGCAACCATCTGGCTAAACATGTCCAATGAAGGCTCATATTCCTCTTTCAAACCAACCATAACAAAGGAAGAAAAGAAATTCACAATTTCAAAGACACAGTAAACCATACTGAAACATGAAACATTTTATTAAGAAAAATATCAAACGTCTAGAAATACTTCATACAGAAATTTGACAATGTTTATAACTGTACTATTATATAACATCCATATTAATCTATCACATGATATTATGGAACAGCTACAAACAGATCTAAATGGACCGACATGACAGATATCCAAGACTCCAATACAAAACAAAGTCCTTGGAGAGGGAGAATAGCTGGGTCTGGTGGTACAGGTCTGTAATCTCAGGTACTTTGGGAGGCTGAAGCAAGGGAAATTGCAAGACCAAGGCCTTACCTGGGCTATACAATGAGTTCAAACCAGCCAGGGAAACTTAGTGAGACACTGTCTCAAAAAAAAAAAAAAAAAAAAAAAAGTAGGGTAGAGCTGGATGTAGCTCAATAGTAGTGTACTTGCCTAGTATGTGTAAGGCCTTGGGCACAATCTCCAGTAATGCAAAAAACAAAAAAGGAAACCGGGCATGGTGGTGCATGCCTTTGAACTCAGCACTAGGGAGGTAGAGGCAGGTAGATCTCTATGAGATCAAGGCTAGCATGTTCTCCATAACAAGTGCTAGGCCACTTGGGGCTACAGGAAGACTGTCTCAAAAAAAGACAAAAAACAAACAAAAAGTGATGGAATTCTCTAATAGGTCTGAGTATTGAAAATTCATTTGAGAAGCTGTTGCAGAGTAGAAAGTATTTGAAACAGACACAAGGAAAACAAATTTTAAAACAAAGCCACTGTAATGTAAGCTTAAGTAAAAACAAAAGCTGTACACAAGCAATATAACATCCATCCATATTGTTTTTAAAAAATTTTTTATTACATATGTATCTAATGGGTTCAACTATATAAAATTGTGGCTCCTGCCAGGCGTAGTGGCGCATGCCTTTAATCCTAGCACTCAGGAGGCAGAGGCAGGCGGATCTCTGTGAGTTCAAAGCCAGCCTGGTCTACCTAGTGAGTTCCAGGACAGCTGGGGCTACAGGGAGACCCTGTCTCAAAAAGACCAAAAAAAAAAAAAAAAAAATTGTAGCTCCTATAGGTCAAAGGTAGTCTCCAGCTTTGGATGGTTGGATTTGAGTTCTCTGCTTTACAATGGTGTAAAAGTGATGCACACTTGGTACAGACTATCCTTTGAAATCCAACCTTTACCAAGGCCTGCAGCATGAAATAACAGACTTTCCAGTTATGCAAGCAGCAGCAGTGGGAAGCTCCCAGTCAGCCAGATAATCATAAGGGAAAACAAATGCTACCCTATTATCCTGCTTTTCTAAGCATTTCTGTAAGTTAGATGCTGCGAATGAATTTTCGACTTGATATATTTCAGCTTACAACAGGGTTATGTCCTAATAACCTCATTATAAGTTGAAGTAGGGGCTGGAGAGATGGCTCAGTGGTTAAGAGCACTGGCTGCTTTTGTGAAGGACCCAGTTCATTTCCTAGCACCCACATGGCAGCTAACAACCACCCAAGCTCCAGGGGATCAGACACCCTCTTCCGACCTCTGTGGGCACTGCATGACATGGGTGCACTTACATGCAAGCAAAATACGTTCATCCATGTAAAATAATAATAAAATATTTTTTAAAATAAGTTGAAGTGAATTAAAAATATATATTGACTTCTATATGTGTGTATGGCACTGCAGACAGAACCCAGGACATCATGCATGCCAGGGAGGCACTCCATCACTGAGCTGCATCCCCAAGCCTATATCTACCACTGTACTTGGTTCAACCTATATGGAAAAATGATTTAAAATACATGCCAAACTGAAAGCAGCTCAGGTTTTCTGGGAGGGGAGGTGATCTATAGAGAGTAATATAATAGATTTAGCCAAGTGTGGTAATACACAACTTTAATTCCAGAACTTCACTTGGGAGGCAGAGGCTGGCAGATCTCGTGAGATCAAGGTCAGCTTGGAATTCACAATAGTGAATTCCAGGCCAGTTGAGGCTACAGGGAAACCCTGTTTCCAAAAACAAAACAAAATAAAAAAGATAATGAACTCAGTAAGAGAAGCAAAGAGAGTTTTCATCCTTGCACTGTTTAAATTTTTAACACTGAACACCTAGTACAATAAGCAATAACATATTTCTTAACAACAAACTTTAGAACTAAAAAATGTATAAAACAATGTACCTCCCAACTCCTGCTGCAGCCCTTGAGCCTGTCGAATCAAGAATTTGATAGGAATCTGATCCATTAAAGAAGAAGAATATGATTTGGGTTTCCTCTGCATGGAAGCTGTCAGTGAAAAAATAGAGTATAAAATAAATAAGAGAATCAGAAATAAATCTTAACCTTGGACCCAAATGGGAACAAAGACAATGTGAAATTAGTTTTTATTTCACTTAATCTTGAATGCATAAAAGATGAAAAACACTACCAAAATCACGACTATACAGGAAAAGCGAGGACACATGTAAGGGCAGGATCTAGAAAAAAGCCCTAAGATTGAAACAAGTGCAAAGAAAAAAACATCATGACAGATTTTAGTGCAGACATGTACCACACTAAAAGAACTTAGTCAAGCCCTTCCCAAATCTACTTAAGAAAGTCAAATGTAGTCATGAACACATGACTCAGTTCTTGATGATTTCAATGTAAATTATAAAAAGAAGCTTTAGAACACCAGAAATGGTAGCACACACCTGTAATCCTAGCACATGGGAGGTGGAGGCAGGAGGATCAGAAGTTCAAAGTTATAGCCAAGTGTAGTGGTGCATGCCTTTGATCCCAGCACTAGGGAGGCAGAGACAGGCAGATCTCTATGAGAATGAGGCCAGCCTAATCTACATAGTGAGTGGCCAGCTGGGACTACAGGGAGACCCTGTCTCAAAAAAAGTTCAAGGTTATCTTCAGCTAAACAGCAGATGTAAAGTTAGCCTGGGCTAACTGAAACCCTACCTCAAAAAAATTAAAAAGCTTTAGTCATATCATGTATGACAGTAATGACTATCTATTTAAAGGATGTTAGGCAATATGAATGACTTCCTTCTCTCCTCTATCCTACCTTCAGCCGCCAACGTGCTATCCTATTTTATGGCCTACTCAGCCATGGTCACTATGGCCAACTTCTCTGCCTCCAACTTCTCATCTCTTTAACACTAATTCTTCATCCTGCAGCCACAGACCTCTTATTTAAATACAGCTAGCTAAATCACGTATCTCCAGCTCCGCACTCAAAATCTTTTGTGGATTTCTATACCACATATACCAAGGCCCTTGCCAATCATAACTACCTTTCTCAACTTCCTTCCTATCACAGTCTGCTATGCACCTTGCTGAGAATCACTGTGAATACAGACCAAATACATCTTGATATAATTACCTATATAAATTAATGAGTTATTATCCAGTTTGTCACCAATCTTTTACAAACGGAATAAGAACATATCAGAAGACAATTCAAACAATAGTTTTAAGTTCCAATGACAGTTCACTGCTGGTTCCAATACTTAACTTCCCAGTGCCTCAGTGTTCAGCCATATAAAATAGAGAGAGCAGTCTCATAGAACTGCTGTGAAAGTTTACATGAGTTAAAAGATATAAATTGCCCCAGTAGTGTCTGGCACAAAACAAGAACTCAAATGTTAATTCATACACTTAAGTTCTAAAATTGGGGCTAAAGGTCCACACCTTGACTGACTTGTATAGCAAGCACCATTACCCTCTGAGCCATCTCAATAGCCCTTTCTTGTTTTGAAGCAGATTCTCAATAGCGCAGGCTGTTCTAAAATTTGTTGTGATTCTCTTGTTTCAGTCTGTCATTTGGTAACACATGGTTTGCATGTATGACCCTAGGTTCAAAACTCAAAACCAAAACAAAATTTTATACTTTAAAAGATTTTTTTAAGATGAAAAGCTTCCTTATTAACTTATGAAATTAGTGTAAATCTTCAAGATCAGCTTAGGGTTAAATATCAGTATTTAAATATTTTGGGTACCAGGGAATTAGCTCAGTTGGTAGAGTGCCTGCCTAGCACTTACAAGGACTTGAGTTTAACCTCTAGTACCACAAGCATGATGGTGTGCTCCTATAATTCCAATACTCAGAAGGAGAAGGCAGAAGAATCAAGGTTATCCTCTGCTAAGTGAGATGTGATGGCCAGTCTGGGCTATATAAGACTCATGTCTGGAGCCAGGCGTGGTGGCTCACGCCTTTAATTCCAGAACTCAGGAGGCAGAGACGGGTGAATCTATGTGAGATGAGGCCAGTCTGGTTTACATACTGAGTTCCAGGCCAGCTGGGTCTGTAGAGAGACCCTGTTTCAAAAAGACAAAAAAAAAAAAAAAAAAAAAAAAAAAAAAAAAAAAAAAAAAAAAAAAAAAAAAATCCACTGTCTCAAAATAGTAACAATAATAATAATGAAGAACATTATTTCTGTACCTTTAAAAACTGAAGACAAACTCCTAAATGTATTTTAATGATGTGATCAAAGATCTAGCAGTTCATGAAGGCCCACAAAAACCAGTTATTAATCATTTCTTTTTAATATCTACATGAAATATAATAGCAGGAAAAAACCAAACTCTAATAATGAACCACGTATGGTCTTACATTCAACATAAGCAGTAACATTTCCTAATTTCTTCAAGTATTATAGCTTTCAAAGGTTTAAGTCTAACATTTAACCTCATCCCCAAAAAGCAAAAATGTTCTGAATACAAATTACACAGCTCCTTATTGTTTTATGAAATCTTTATACTTAAAAGAAAAAGCTTCCTAATTCACTTATGATATTAAACTCATGCCAAAACTTCAAAGGAAGAAAAAAGGTCAGTTTCACTTATATAAACACAAATGGAAAAAAAATCATTATTAAAAAAACAGGCAAATCAAATCTAGAATCATATTAATAGATTAATGTACCAAGAGTAAATAGAATCTATTCCAAAAAATGGAACTGTATTAGTTATAGAATGAATGTTATAAATATACCAAGTATACTATGTTGATAGCTGCCAAAAAAGTATTTACATAATAAACTACTTTTTCAGTGGTACTCTAAGAATAAAACAAATTCAGAAGCCACATTTGGTGACACGTGTCTATTATCCCAGCTCTTAAGAGGCTGAGATAAGATTCTGAGTTAAGGTCAGCACAGGTGACATACATAGCTAGACCCTGTCTGAAAAAATATAAAACTAAGCTGGCCATGGCAGTTCACACCTGTAATCACAGCACATGGGAAACAAAGGCAAGAAGATTTCAACAACTGTGAGACCACCCTGGGCTACAAAGTGAGAATCTTTTCCAAAACACCAGCCAGAACCCAGCCATGCCAAGTTTAAGGCTTAGAACCTTCAGCAGCAAGAAGAGCTACTGAAACAGCAGCTGCAAGTCCCTAAAGTGACAGGCAGCGTTGTGTCCAAATTCTCCAAGATCTGAGTTGTCAGAAAATCCATCACCCATGTCCTCGCCATCATTAGCCAGACTCAGAGATAAAACCTCAGGAAATTCTACAAGGGCAAGAAGTACAAGCCCCTGAACCTGCAGCCCAAGAGGACAAGAACTATGCGCCACCCACTCAAGAAGGGGGGAGGGGGGTTGTTTGTGGTGGAGAGATAGCTCAATGGTTAAGAGTACTGGCTGCTCTTGCAAAGGACCTAGGTTCAGTTTCCCAACACCCACATGGCAGCTAACAACCTTCTGCAACTCCACACTTACATACTTGCAGGCAAAACACTAATACAGGTTCAGTTTCCCAACACCCACATGGCAGCTAACAACCTTCTGCAACACACACACTTGCATACTTGCAGGCAAAACACTAATACACATAAAATAAAAACCAATCAATGAAGGAGAAAAAAAAAACCCTGAGCATGGTGGTACAAGCATTCAAGGAGGCAAAGGCAGGTGATCTCTGTTGAGGTCAAGGCCAGCTTACTCTATATAGTGTGTTCCAGACAAACCAGGGCTACACAGTAAGTCTCAATATGAAAAGGGGGGGGGGGCACAGTTGGAGAGATGGCTCAGTAGTTAACAGCACTGACTGCTCTTGCAGAGGACCTGGGTTCACTTCCCAGCACCTACATGGTGGCTAACAACTGTTCATAACTCCAGTTCCAAGGGATCTGATGCCCTCTTCTGACCTCCATGGGCATTGCATAACACAGGTACACTTACATGCATGGCAATACACTCATACATAAAATAAAAATAATAAATAAAATTTTAAAAAGAAGACTCCAAAGAGGGGCTGATGAGATGCCTTAGCAAGTAATGGCACTTGTAGATCAAGCCTGTCAGCAGAGTTTGATCCCCAGAACACATGTAAGGGTGGAAGGAGAGAATCGACTCCCTAAAGCTGTCATCTGACCTCCACATATGCAACATGGTACACGCATACACATAATAAAGTTTTTGAAAAAAAACTAAAAAATGACAAAAAAGAAATTCAGCACCTAGCTAATCGAATCCAAATGTCAGTACCTTTTGTACAACATGTTACAGATCACCAGAAGACTATGCAGAACCCACATAAAGAAAACTACAAAATCTTATTGACAGATATAAACAGTAATTAGAATTCACTTGTGAGTCAACAATATTTATTAAGTTCTTAGTCTATACCAATTAATATTCTGCATGCTGGAGCCATCGTAGCAAAAAATAGGAGAGGACAGAAATTAGCCTTCATAGCCAATATAGTGGCACAGGCCTGTAATGATAGCACTAGATAGAGAAGTGGAGATAGGCAAATGAAAGTCAAGGCCAACTTGGGCTACATGTCAAGACCCTATCTCAAAAAAGCAAAAAAAAAAAAAAAAAGGGTGCCAGTGAGATGGTTCAGTGGGTAAAAGTGCTTGTAACACAAGACTGATGACTTGAGCTCAATTCTCAGAAGCCATGTAAAAAGAGCACTTACTGCTCTTGCAAATGACACAGGTTCAGTTCCCAACACCCATATGCTGGCTAACAACCATCCATAACTAGTTCTAGAGGATCCAATACCCCAATCTAGTCTCTGCTAGCATTGTACACATGCATACACTTACATGTAAGCAAAACACATATACACACAAAAATTTTTTTTTAACTTTATGAGTATATTGCATGCATGTAGGTAGGTACACCCATGGTGTGCAGTGCCTGGGAGGTCAGAAAAGGGCATTGGATCCCCTGGAACTGCAATTATGGACTGTTGTTAACTGCCATATGGGGAATGGGAATTTAACCTGGGTCCACTGCAAGAGCAGCCAGTGCTCTTAACTGCTGACCCATCTCTCCAGCCCAAAATTTTTTAAAGTAAATGATTAAAAAAAAAATTTAAGCCAGATACAGCGGCTTGCATCTATAATCCTAGCATTCCAACAAAGAGATTGGAGGTGGAAACAGGCAAATCAGTGGAAGGAAAACTTGTTCTCTGACACCAAGACACATGATGTGGCACATATACACACCCATATCTCTCTCTCTCTCTCTCTCTCTCTCTCTCTCTCTCTCTC